AATCTAAGGATAAAATAGGAACAATAAAATTAGGATGAGGGTATTTTGGGAAAAAATAAATGACAAAAAAATGGGACTAACTTATTAAACCACATAAAATGGGAAATGGGATAAACAAATAAAAACGGAGGGAGTATACAATAAAAGTCATACAAACCTTATTTTTATACTCCCTCCGTGTTTTAATAAGTGTTACACTGTAACCGGCATATAGTTTTATGCAATTTAATATACTTAAATAAAATAAGAGGTAAGTGGAGTAGTTGAAGTATTAAAAATTAAAAAAAAATAGTGGGGTTAATAGTTTATTGAAAAGCAATGAATGTGAGAGGAAACAAATAATAAAAAAGTAGTAATGGGTTTTGGTGGGACCATGAATGAAGAAAGATAACAATTATTAAAACACGACCGTATTTGGTAAGTGTAACACTTATTAAAACACGGAGGACGTATGCCAATGATTTTTTGTAGAAAGTAATTTTGGAGGGAAAATATTTAATAATATGTTACAGAGTGTCCACTTAATTTTTTTCTTTTAAGTATTATATAATAGATATTAACTTACCATTAGCATGAAGATCATGATGTAATTGAAAATTCCATCTATTATCGATGATTTTCTAATAGGTCATGTAATATCTACAATCCCTTTTATAGACAACTTAGCTCGTTTCATAGCCTTGTATATGAAATCCATAGTTAGCTTTTCATCTCCATCAATGAGCCTCAACACCCTTAAAAGTGGCATTACTTTTGAAATTCTAGCTGCCTCTTTCCAAAATTTAACCTCTTCCTTTTGGTGTTTGCGAGTACAAGTTCACGTACCTTTTTAGCAGTTGGTTGTGTCATTTGGCCCCATCTAGAAGTCAACCATCCAGGAGATTCAAACATATCCTTAAGTGTCAACCTATGTTTATTGACAATGCTTTCTAGTGGCACAAAATTAGTCGCAAATCGAGTCATTCCAGTGTGTAAGATCTCCCGACCATTTGTCAACTTCTTCAATTCATATAATATACACACCAAGTAGAGTTATATATTAAACCAGAAATCTTTTTCGCATGTTCTAGAACATCCTTGATAGAAGTCTTTTTCGCAATATCCTCCAACATCAAATCGATGCAATAAGCTGCACAAGTTGTCCAATACAAATTAAGTTGGGAATTCTTCCATAAGTTTCTTCCATGCCGCTTTCATGGCTGCTTCATTATCAGTCACCAATTGAATAACTCTACTCGGTCCAACTTCTTCTGCTACCTTTTTCATTAAGAAAAAATAGCAATAACGTCAGTGCCATCAACTGATTAATGAAATACATTTCCACGATTTGAATAGATAAGAAAATTAATAATATGTATTTAAGTTGGACTAGTCCATCCATCTCACATTATGGTGACTCCCCTTTCATCCCAAACATTTGCAAACGAGGCTATTTACTTTTTCATCAATTTACATTCTTGAGGGAGATACACCTCTACAAGCTCATATGCAGAAGGAGCTTTGAGCCTTTGACATTAGTCCCGGCTTCACGAATAGCATTCATCACTAGATTAGTGTATGCCGAATTCACAATTGCAAATGGTTTTTGTCAATAACCCAATTGCCAAATGCTCTCATGATGTTAGCATTTTGCTTTTTAACCTTTTCCCTCTCAATTTTCCCTTTCAATTTTCCTATGCAAATGATTCTTTTAATTTTATTTATTATTTATTTTTATACAACTAATGAAGTAAAAATACATATAATTTTGTAAATAGTGTAACAAACAGAAGCATTGGGAGGGAAGTGTTGGTAGTATAACGAAACCGGGGGGGGGGGGGGGGGTTAAGCCATGTTCTAAATTTCGATTTCTCAAAATAATACTTGGTATATTGAATCAACTTAATCGTTTTTATTTCATCGGCCCTAAACCATCTTTGGGCTCTGTGCTAATATTCATCGGGCCAAAACGATCTTTATACAAAAATAAAAATAAAATCATCACCGCCCTTACTCTCAGGATCGTCTTAATAATATTTGGGGCCTTCAATTTTTCTTTCTCTTATACTCAAGGCTTTTATATATATATATATATGTATGTATGTATATACATACATATACATACATACATACATACATACATACATACATACATACATACATACATACATACATACATACATACATACATACATACATACATATATATATATATATATATATATATATATATATATATATATATATATATATATATATATATATATATATATAGATCTCAAGGTTTATATATTTAATTATATGTTTTTATTTTTATTTTTTTTTAAAATAACTAAAAACATAATACAATACTTCAATCATTAAAAGTAGTCTATTAGGAGAAGAAAAAAAATAAAATAAAAAACTTGGTGATAGATGTCTAAAGCAATGGAGTTTCAATTTACAATATATATATATATATATATATATATATTGTGCATACTACTTTTACCAAATTTGAATCTTAGAATGAAGATAAATTACTAACTACTTTGAGGAGGCGTTTGGTTAGAGTGTTTTTTGGATTGGAAACGGATTCGAATAAACCGATACCGTTACCGTGTGTTTGGTTTGAAGACATGGTAACAATTACCATTACTTAAGGGTAATAGTTACCCCTCATTTTTTACCTCTCAAAAACTTGGGGTAACAAATACTCTTACCCTACTCTTAACAAATACCCTTTCCATGGTTAAACCAAACAAATAAAAAGGTAATAGCTGATTAGGGGATTTTTATCCACCAATCACCATCTGACAAGTGGACCAATCAGGTCCCGCCATGTGTCCGTCACATGGGCCAATAGGAGCCTGCCACGTGTCAACCATATATCCGTCCTCTATGGACCAATTGCTACGCGACACGTGTCCATCCATGCCATATGGGTAAATCAGCCAACAAGGCCCAATCTTTGTGGAAAGCCCAGTCAGCCTATTAACCTAAACCTAGTACTGGCACGCATTCCAAGGCATATAAATATGCCCATTAATCCTCATTAAGGGGGATTACGCACATTTAACACTCTCACCTAGAGAGACCAAATTACTTTTATTTCCGCATTAATTACTACTTAATCAAGTACTAACTTGACCGTCGGAGGCGGATCTCCAATCATCCGGAGCATCCGTTTGTTTTGCAGGTACAGGCGTCCGGTTCCAGTCTCAGAATTGTAACTCTCCCGCAGGACATCAGAAAACCCCGAAACATTTTGGCGCCGTCTGTGGGGAGAGTACTTCTGAGATGGCATCCACGTTTGTACCGACTCCTGAAGAGAGGCGTCCCCTGACGACCCTCAAGTTCAGTCGGACCATGATACTGAGGAAGAATTTGAAGTTGAAGCTCACACAGCTTCAGACGGGACCCTAAGGGCCCGGCGCACCCGTCATACCGAAAGGAGAGAACGGGAAGATCTTCAAACTGGACTCAGTGATCCAGCCGGCGCACCGCCTGTTCAGCAGCAGCCGGCTGATGGGTCTACTTCCATTACAAGAAACGAACTCATGACCTTCATGAGGGGCTTCAAGGGAGAGATTCAAGAGTTGCTCAACAAGAAGTCGTCTGCTCTGGCCAAGGAGCAGTCGGCTAAGAAACCTTCCTCTTCAGGGAAGAGGAAGCTTGTTCAAGGGCGACAGGCGACCCCTCATCCTAACTCTAGGAAGTGGGAGCCGCCTGTCCTTGATTTCACAAAGTACCGCTTTCCTACTCCAGGAAAGAGGAAACCTGTTCGTCATATTCAGGCGGACGGTTCGAAGAAAACATACACAGATGCTCGGCTATTGCTAGAGCAGAAGAAGAATGACCGATTGTCAGAGTCGACCTCTACTTCAGACTTCCAAGACAGTCTACGCAATACCTCGATGAGGTATACTCAGTCGCATCATGAGAGTCAGTCAGGCGGTACCTCCCGTCAGTCCGGCTTTTATAGTGACCAGGCGGTACCAAACTTACCATTTGTACCGCAACAACAATATTTTTTGCAGCCACCTCTGTTTGGAGGGCATGCGGCAAAGAATGTCCAACCTATGGACTGGCAGCTACGGTTGCTTAGACTTGGGGAACAGCCGTCGGCCTTCTCCAAGGAAATTATTGAAGCCGCTCAGCCGGCCAAAGTGAAAAATGTATTAGTAGGCGCCTATGACGGCACTACTAACCCAGAAGACCATTTAATGGCATTCACTAACCTGATGTACCTTCAAGGGTTGGATGATCCCACTTGGTGCAAGTGTTTTCCGGCGACTCTCAAAGGAATCGCCCAACAATGGTTCGACAACCTGCCGACTGGTTGTGTAAATAACTTCAGGACGCTTGCTTTCTTATTTACCTCCAACTTTGCCATGAACATACCTGCGAAGAAGACGACCCTTGATTTAGGGACGATTCAGCAGGGCGAGAAGGAAGGGCTTCGTTCTTACATCAGGCGGTTTAACCTGATGAGAATACAGATTCAAGGGTTACCGGATGAAGTAGCCTACACTGACTTTTTCAGAGGCCTCAAAGACGGGTCGACCTTCAAATTTGATTTGGTTCGAAAGAGGGTGGCTACTCTTCAAGAAGCCTTAATTGAAGCGGAAGCCTATATACAGGCGACTGATCTTTGTAGTACGGGAAAACAGTCGGACGGGAAAAGGTTCGACAAAAGAGAAGGACGACAGAAACAGTCGTCCAACAAAGATGAAAAGAAGAGAAAAGAGGTCTGGGCGGCTGACTCCTCTAAACAGCCGGCCCAGAAGAAGAAGAAAGAATTCAAACCATACTCCCCAAAGTATGCGTTTAACAAGGATAGCCAAGCTATCCTAAAAGAAATCAAGGGACGAATCTCAATTGAGAAGCCGGTCCCATGAAGGGTTCTGCGAGCAATCGGAATCAAGAAAAATTCTGTGATTATCATGAAGATGTTGGTCATCAAACCAACGAATACAGTTTTAGCTTTATTAATTAGTTTTTGAATTCTTGTTTAGGACTGTCTACGGGTATTACGACGAACACCCACTTTTTTACTCCGGCAGAAAAAGACTCGTGTTATGTATGTTTGGTTTTACAGAGAGTGAAGTTCTAAAAGCCCAGGGTAGTATGACAAGCCCTAAGGGAAATAATGTACAAACTCATACGCTGTTCTCAAACCTCCGAGCGAATGAGCAATCTGTATGTGAGCAGTCAATTCGAAGTAATTTGATTATGTTGGGCTCCTTCCCGTCTCCGGTTACGGTGGGTTCTCCTTCCCAAACAGGTTCTCCCTCATCTCCTCTGCCACGTTCTCCCTCATCTCCTCTGCCAAGTTCTCCTTCGGCTCCTCTGCCACGTTCTCCTTCGGCTCCTCTGCCACGTTCTCCCTCATCTCCTCTGCCACGTTCTCCCTCATCTCCTCTGCCACGTTCTCCTTCGGCTCCTCTGCCACGTTCTCCTTCGGCTCCTCCGGCTGGTTCTCCTTCGGCTCCTCCGGCTGGTTCTCCTTCGGCTCCTCCGGCTGGTCCTCAGTTTTCGTGGAAGGATGTATATAATGTCCACCCACAAATTAAACATGTGTATCATACCGGCAGCAAAAAAAAAGTAATCTACAACTTTATTGAGGCTTTCGATTACTTGCGATTTGTTCGCAATGTATATGCTCACATCAATTCGCTGGTAATGAGTTTTATGTCTTTTTTTAACGGGTCTTGTGAACATACTTAATTATGTATTAATTTTATATTTTGTGATTCATATTACTTAACTATGTTGTTTTACAATCTAAAGTCACAGCTGAACTTAAAGGGACGTGCGGCCTTGTATCAAGAGGTTGACAAAATGTGGCCTGGGTTTGTCTTTGCCTTATTTGTAACTCTTGCTAATATGGGATTGCTTTTAGACGGTAAATTCTGACTTTATTTTTTTTTGTTTTTTGGTGATTTATTTTATACTATAGTACTTAATTCATAATTATGATTTTTTTTACAGGTTAAACGGTCTAAGATTGGCTTGTACGGAGTTTCTTCTTCGTTCTGTTGATGATGTATGAGTTTTTTTTGATTGTGAAGCATTGACATTCTGTTGAGCAAATGGTGCATTTGAAAAAGACGTGATTGAAATTGTTTTATGTTTTTCCTCCTAGGCGTTAGTTTCTTAGGCTTCTTATTCAATGTTTTTTAGGTGTGAAACCATCCATCAGTGAAGCCTTCAACTGCCTAATGCCTAAGTGATAAAACTGCATGTGTTAAAGATATAGTTCTTCATGAAATCATCTGACAGTCTTGATCATATGATCTTACTTTTTTTAATTTCTCTGCCTGTTTATCAAAATTAACAAATGTTAATTTTGCCGTATCATCTTCCACCTCTACTTCTACCCTGTATCTGTGGAATTAGTTACTTTTAGTAGTTGGAACGATAAATAATTATTTTGTGTTTAGTTTTGTTTTAAATACGATTATTACCTTAGTATGGGGAAATCCCGTGCTTCCATGCATTTGAAGCAAAAAAATCTACCACAATCTTTTTGGAGCTTAGATCTACACTTAGCACATGATGAAAATAGCCAATCATTGTCTAATTTAATTCCGGATATCATAGCTTTGCATACCACTTTAGTACCATCTTTAATATTGTTGTTAAATAAAAGCTGGGTAAGTTCATCTAATTTCATTGACCTTGATTGGTCATTGTTCTCTGTATTTGATAGGGTAAGTACTTCTATGCAACTATCTGTTTTCCTGTGAAAAAAATTAAAAAAAATTGCGAGAAGTATGAGTACTTATAATACGTGGTGAAACTGATTTTATATATGAATAATATTATTAATGTGTAATTACCCTTGTATGAATTCATTTACTTCTAGTATGGTTATGTCCCTGTATATTTTTGTTGCTCCATTGGATGAAAAAGTTATATTACCTTTAATTTGAAATATAATATTAGCTCACAATTCACATACACAATTGATTAAAAATAGTATGATGTTATGTTTCTTCGATTCAAATACATACCATTATAGGTTCTAATTCTGAGAGATGTAATGATAAGCACAATTGGTACATTATTTACACCGAGATGGTTGTTGAATGTTTCGGCTATTTTTCCCCATAGTGTTATCAAGTATGTTTGTCCACTGTATTAAAATATGAGAATAGTGTTTAATTAGGATATTAATAAATATATATAATTGATTATAATTTTTAATACTAAATAATTATACCTTGTGTGTTCTAATATGATTTCTCGTAATGGAGACCTTCCCAGCTTTATGTTTAGATCTCCAATTCCTCTTAGTTGGCCTAACACATCTGCATAATAAATAAAGTAGAATAATTATTTATGGTACAGAGTGTTGTAAATTGTTGTATATAATAATAATTATAGACTGAGTTTGAATAGTAATTATATGAATCTATAAATGATGCGTTTCTTGATTCGTTTGGTCTTAGGTTTAAACAAGCTTCACTCGTTTGTTTTCGCCTAAGGGTTCTAAATCTGATTTCAAGGCTTCACTCACCTTAATCTCGTGATTTAGGGGTTTTTTGAGGATAGTTTGAATTAGCTTCACTCACTAATTAATCTAACCTCTCTTAAATCAGGTTTCACTCGCCTAATCTAAGGGTTTTTATGTTTAACTTCACTCGTCAAACACAAAGAAAACTTGGAAAGAAACGTTCCAAATTAACAAGCAATAAAGCTTTAATCAACAAAACAAACTTCTTCTTTAATTCAAAGTTTACAACCTTTATTTATAGACTCAAAACTAATTCTAAACCTAATCAAATTAGAAAACTAATCCTAATTGAATTAGAATCCCATTTGACCTAGAAAACCTAAGAAAACCGAAACTTGATCCCCAAGTTCCTAATTCGGATATGACTAAACTAACTAAGTTTAATTCAACTTAGATTAGGTTATTCATATCCGAATTAGGAACTTGGGGATCAAGTTTCGGTTTTCTTAGGTTTTCTAGGTCAAATGGGATTCTAATTCAATTAGGATTAGTTTTCTAATTTGATTAGGTTTAGAATTAGTTTTGAGTCTATAAATAAAGGTTGTAAACTTTGAATTAAAGAAGAAGTTTGTTTTGTTGATTAAAGCTTTATTGCTTGTTAATTTGGAACGTTTCTTTCCAAGTTTTCTTTGTGTTTGACGAGTGAAGTTAAACATAAAAACCCTTAGATTAGGCGAGTGAAACCTGATTTAAGAGAGGTTAGATTAATTAGTGAGTGAAGCTAATTCAAACTATCCTCAAAAAACCCCTAAATCACGAGATTAAGGTGAGTGAAGCCTTGAAATCAGATTTAGAACCCTTAGGCGAAAACAAACGAGTGAAGCTTGTTTAAACCTAAGACCAAACGAATCAAGAAACGCATCAAATGGTATCAGAGCTGTTGGTGTGATTATTGAGTCGTTATATCCTTGTTCTTGAGCAATCAAGAATCAATTCGTGCTAGTTTCTTGGTTCTTGTTCTTCTCGGCGCAGATCTGGACCAGTTGGAAGTTTTAGGTTACTGCGAACTATATACTTGGTATTTTTCGGTGATTCTTTTTTGGTTGGATTCCTATTGGACTAGAATTATAGCCTGTAAAATTTCGTGGTCATTGGATAAGTGACGCAAAATCTACAGCAACAAACATTCGAGGGAAGATTATTGATTGTGCGCAAATATGGCGAGTAAATCAACGGAAACTCACTTGCTTGAACAAATGGCTGCTTTGATGGAACAAAACATTATTTTCATGAATCATATGAAGAGTCTTGAAGGGGAGATGTCCGAATTGAAGGCTAAGGCTTCGGGAGGTTCTATTGGTAGTGGTGGATACAAGAAGGATGAGGAGATCAAACTGAGTGATCTTCCAGAATTCGATGGTACTTTAGATCCAGAAGTTTATCTAGATTGGGAGCGACGAGTAGATCGAATTTTCTCTCACAAAGGTATTGATGATTATAAGTGCTTTACTTATGCTATTCTTAAATTGTCAAAGCTTGCATCTTTATGGTATGATAATTGTCAAATCAAGAGAGAAAGGGAAAAGAAAGAAAGAATTAATTCATGGAATTTGCTGAAACAAAAATTGAGAAAACGCTTTGTTCCACGATCCTATAAGCAAGATTTGTTTCACAAATTCAATACTTTGCAACAAAATAATTTGAGTGTCGAAGATTATATTAAAGAATTTGAGAGATTGTCATTAGCTTGTGATTGTAAAGATGAGGAGGAACAAAAGATCTCTAAATTTCTTGTTGGCCTTAATATGGAAATTGGACATAAAGTTGAGTTGCAATCGTTCTTTACTTTTGATGAGGCTTGTGAGCTTGCTGTAAAGGTTGAAAGACAAATTAAAACTTCAAAGTTGAAATCTTTTCGACCTAATTATGCTCTAAAGGGTGAGACTTCAAAGGGTTTTGAAAAATCTGAAAATTGGGAAAAGAATAAAGGTGTTTCGGATTCCTTTAAGTTTGATGCTCAAGCTAAAAATCAAAGAGTTGATAAAGATGAAATCAAGTGTTTCAAGTGTCAAGGTAGAGGTCACTACAAGTCCGAGTGTCCTAATAGAAGGGTCATGACATTAACAAGATACCAAGCCTTAGAAGAGGAGGATGCTAAACTTGCTTTACTTCTAAAAGAGCAACGTGAAGGAGAGGAGAATGAATATGACTTTGAGGAAGAGTGTGAAGAGCAACCATTGTGTGAGGCAGCCCCGGATCACAACACACTTGTTTTGAGAAAGCTTCTCCATGCTCAATCTACTCCTTTGACTGATATGGCACAAAGGGAGAACTTGTTTCACACTAGATGCTTAGTGAATGGGCGTAGTTGTTCAGTTATTGTGGATAATGGTTCTTGTACTAATGCATGCTCTAAGAAGATGACGGATACATTGCAGCTTGAGACTAGGAACCATCCTAATCCTTACAAACTTAATTGGCTCACAAATGTTGGAGGAGTACATGTTTCGAAACAAGCATTGGTTTCTTTTACAATTGGTGAGTTTGAAGACAAAGTATGGTGTGATGTTGTTCCTATGGATGCATGTGCTTTGTTGCTAGGCCGTCCTTGGCAATTTGATCGTGATGTGATCTACCTTGCAAAGAAGAATGTGGTTTCAGTTCTACATAAAGGGAAAAGGATTGGATTAAAACCTTTGCCTCCTAAATTCGAACCTATGCAACATGATGGCAGCAAGGTTATTTCTCTTTCTACATGGGATGAAGGTGGTTCAAGTAAAAGGAAGAAGAAAGACAAGCAGCAAGATAGAGTGCTTCAACTTGTTCGTAAGTCTCCATTTGAGATAGGTGACTATGTGTGGCTTTCTTTGAGTGCACAGAAGTTATACAACAACCGCAAAGACAAGCATGAATCCTTTGATGAAGGGCCTTTTAAAATCGTGCATAGGGAGAATTATGATACATTTCAAGTGCTACTTGGTGAAGGCGTTTGTGCTTCTCTTAGTGCAAATGATCTTGTTCCTTGTTATGATGTAACTTGAGGACAAGTTAGTTTTCAAGAGGAGGAGTATGATGCGGATGCATTCAACGTTTCCTTTCTTAGTCCGTTTCTTTAATGTTTCTTAGATTAGATTTTGGCTTACAAGTTTTTACCTTTCACTTGAAAGGGTTTTTCTTGTTTTAAGCATTAGGATTTCTATTTTGATTAGGAATTGTTTTGGTCTAGTGAGTTCCTATTTGAATTAGGACTTGTTTTTAACAAAGTAAATTCCTAAGTGGATTAGGACTTGACTTTGGTTTTTAGGCGTGTCTAGGTGTTTTAGGAGGATTGAATAACCTAATCTAAGTTGAATTAAACTTAGTTAGTTTAGTCATATCCGAATTAGGAACTTGGGGATCAAGTTTCGGTTTTCTTAGGTTTTCTAGGTCAAATGGGATTCTAATTCAATTAGGATTAGTTTTCTAATTTGATTAGGTTTAGAATTAGTTTTGAGTCTATAAATAAAGGTTGTAAACTTTGAATTAAAGAAGAAGTTTGTTTTGTTGATTAAAGCTTTATTGCTTGTTAATTTGGAACGTTTCTTTCCAAGTTTTCTTTGTGTTTGACGAGTGAAGTTAAACATAAAAACCCTTAGATTAGGCGAGTGAAACCTGATTTAAGAGAGGTTAGATTAATTAGTGAGTGAAGCTAATTCAAACTATCCTCAAAAAACCCCTAAATCACGAGATTAAGGTGAGTGAAGCCTTGAAATCAGATTTAGAACCCTTAGGCGAAAACAAACGAGTGAAGCTTGTTTAAACCTAAGACCAAACGAATCAAGAAACGCATCAATAAAAACCTGAGTTAAACAACTGAGTTGCATCGTTGCTTGATTAATTCATCATCTCCCAGTTCAAACTTATGTTTAGGGATTTTTGGATTATTTTTCTCTAGTAATTGAGTCGACGTTGCAAAATTGAAAAATATCATGTGATCATTTGTGACAATCCTCCACTCTTTCTTGTTAGGCGTCACATTAAAGTGCTTAATCATATAAATACATCCCTCTTTGAACTTTTCTCTAAAATCAGATGCATCTTCTCTTGTAATTGAAGCATGTATGTGTTGTCTCTGTTTTATTGCCTTAGATTTTATTTCAAAGAGATATTAGGTAATAACAAATATTGGAATAATACATGATAGTTGTTGTGCAAAAATACTTACGTCTTCATCAGCTAGTATCATGTCAATACCTAGAAACTTATTGGACTTCGGGCTAATTACATCCCACATTCTAGTGATTCTTATCTTTAGAGTCCAATCTTGCCTCTCATTGCTAATCTTCAAGTCCTCGATGAGATTATAACTTTCGTTCAAACGATGTCCTATCTCTAAAAATCATTAGGAAAAAAAACATGTTAATTACATATAAAATATAGAGGGAAAAAAAACTGACATATATCAACATCTCCTATTAATGATGCAAGCATTCTATTATACGCGTTACAAGCATATAGACCGAGTAGTTAACATTCCGTGATCAATTAATTCAATTGGTATGATGTATGTGTGTTAAAGGTGTTGTGAGTTTGTGACCAAATAATAAACGTTTACACCAAATAATAAACCAAGTTTATTATAATAAATTAATAGTGTAAAGATTTATAATAAACCCGCTCTGTTTCCGTAAAAAGGGATATACTAATTATCAAGAACTTTGGCTCTCTAACGACTAAAATCTTAACCCCTGCAATTTCATGTCGTGGTAACCCTCAATAATTATAATCATAGGCTACTAATTATAATCATAGGCTACTCTAAATAAAGAAAAACCATAAGAAATTGGGCTAGGATTATTTTGGACAATCTTCTCATTAAAATAATCAATAGGAGATTGATAGTAATTGGAATCACTATTTATGACCAATTTGGCTATTATTGTATTGGATAATCATCTCATAAAATAATCAATAAAATTGGCAATAATTGGGATTACTATGTACTTATTGACTAATTAAATATTAATCATAATAAAAACAAAAAAAATACTCCTTGATATTAAAATTAATGATCAAAATTTAACCTCTTTAGTCATACCTTTTGCCATTTTTTGTAGCCATTGACCGTGCTAGGAATTATGATGAAGAAATCTGAGAAGGTTAAACAATTATGATTAGCTACATGATTAATAACTAATTATCATACATTTGCAAACATGTAAATTATGAATGGTTTTAGTATCCAATAAATAAATTAACAATTATATCTGTTAATGAAAATTAGAGTCGCGTGCGTAGAAATTGAATGTTAATAAGTGTCGTTGAACAAAAGGAGAGGCTAGAGGGTTTATATTAGCATCAAATTGATTTAATGGGTTTCCTCTTAGGAATAGAATTATTATATTAGTTGGATTAATAAAATTAATAAAATTATGTGGGATAATGTAACCATAAAATTTTATTGTGCATAAAAAAATTATATTTTTTTAAAATAATTTGAGTAAAATAATGCTACTCCTAGTCATCAGAGTCCTAGTCGTCCTCATCATCCTTATCATCATTATCATTCTGATTATTAGAAGGAAAGGGATCATAGCACATCCGCACATATGTATAATATCCATCTACACTCTTTAAAAAGTGAGAAATTCACGGAACTGTTCCTTATGAACAGTAGGACAGTGTCCTTCCGGATTACCCTCGGCTTGGGATGCTATTTATGGTCTTGCCATTGTATTCTGACATTGCTTTCCAACTCATCTTTGTCCTTTTTCCCCTTTTCTTTTTCCCTAAAATCACTTGCTATCACTCATTTTGTCCTTCTTCTTTTCTCTGTCTTCGTACTTGCTTCTTCTTTCATTTTTGTTTTTCCTTCTTCTTTGCTCTTTCTTTTTTGTTTGTTTGTTCTCCATTGAAGCTTATATGAAGTGATTTGTAAAGAGTGTAGATTTTTTTAATTTTTTGGGTTGAGCTAATATTAAATGTGAATCTTCTGAAATTTTGGAATACTCTTGACTTTCTTTGGTTTGAGTTTAGTAATTTGATTTTTGAATTTCGATGTTTTTGATGTTGGTTCTTACTGATTTTGATTGTGTTAGGGTCTCTGTTCATTTTTCATTCTATTTTAAATTAAAAGGATTTTATTTAAGTTAAGCTTTTAAGATATAAATTCGTAAATTGTGTTGGTTGTTCTATAAGCTTCTGGATTTTTGTTGTTATTTAGAGATAAAGTATTTTTTAATCGCTTCTGACAATTTTGTTCTTTGTTGCATGCAGTTAACGCTTTGCCTTTGGTGAAGGTGTTAGTGAGCTCGGCTGTATCTGCTGTGAAAGTACTTATTCTCAATAACTATTGGTGTTGTTTATCTTTAATTGTTGGAATTTAATTGCTATTTTGTTGAGGTTCAGTTCGATCTTAGTGATGATGGCTGTAAATACGTGGTTTGAGGCTGTGATTGTATAGATGTTTGGCAAATTGAAATCTATATATTTTTTATGTGCCAGATTATTTCTTGCTAATGAAAAGTAACTGTTTATTTATATGGCATGTTGTTCTATATATTCGAGTTTAGTTGGTGACTGAACGGATCTCTTGTTGCAAGAATTACTTTACCCAGGTGAGGCAATAGGAAGTCAAAGTCGAGGTCTTTCTCAAGAACTTATCAAGTTGCTTCCAACTTCTAGACATAAGGCGGGCGATTTATTCTCAAGGAAAAAATCCAGAGAAAGGTAATATTTTCAGATAAGTGCTATTTACTACTAAGAGTTAACAAGCTTCTTTTCATCTATCATGTGTTGTGATGTTTTTTTGCTCTGCCTCGTGTAGTGTCAGTGGAAAAAAAAACACTTAAAATTTTGCTCATGTCTGCTGCTGAAAGTTAAGAAAGACTTATAAGAAACATTTTGCTGTCATGATTATCTATCACCATCAGTGTTTCTGAAATGGTGCTCCTTGAATTGTGCGGCTTCATTGCTTCTTTAAGATGTAGTGTAGAACTGTAGACAGAGATCACCAGCTTTTATATCCTAATGCACACGAAATTCCTATCGAAAATTGCCAGCTCTTCTTGGTATATAGAGTATAATAAATGTTAAAACAAGTATGGAATTTACCTGAATCTATAAGACATATCATATAGAGATTATATATAGATGGCTTATTGGTGATTTGTGTCTTTTATTTGCATTTAGGTTTTTTTGGCCAACAACAAAAAAATAGGATAGGAAATTGTAAAAGATAATTAGAATAGCTAGCATAATAATAATAATAATAACTTGAAAAGGGTGTTTTAAATCGATTCCTATTTTAAGTAACATTGCCTACTTTGATTATAGTTCTTCGATTTCAGAGTTTAGTGTGTGGATCACTATTACTCATTTTATTTTGCTTTTTGATTATGCCTTTTTGTGTGTGAGTGTGTGTGTTAACTTTTTCGCGATCATTTTCATTTTGGATTTGATTGAGATGGAAGGTGATTCTATAGGGGTTGTAGTATAATTGGTTATTGTTTTTTTGTGTTGATCATTGCTTTAGTGATCAGCGTTAGCTTACATTACGAGTATACAAGTGGATCAGGCAAGCTTGTCAATTGTTTGTACTTTAACATTATTTTGACACATGATATTTTTAATATGAAGAGTAGAAAATTAAAGAATATACATTTATATATGTTATTAAAATATTTTCTATTCTAATTGAAATAGACTTTGTTGCCAAAATTAATCAAGTTGGAGGAAAAAAAAATAATGATCATACACCGTCATCCTTGGCTAAAAATACTATTCTAATTATATACTTCCTCTGTTTTTTTTAGTTGACACCTTTCTATTATCACGCTTGCCAACGCATGTTTTTAACGATTAATATCTCTAATTATAAATATTGTAAAATTATAAAAAGTGGATATTAATAAAATATACATTGAAATGATTCAAAAAAGATCCCACATGAATATGTTTTATCGTATCTATAAACCACAAAAGCGAGTCAAAGCGTGTTGTGTGAATAGTGTAAAAGTCAAACAGTTTCAACTAAAAAAAAATGGAGGAAGTAGTTCCTTAAAAATGGAAAGAAAATATTATAGTTATGGAGGTTTGACCAAAGGAAAAATAAAAGAAAGAAAGAAAAAAAAAGGCGGGAAAATATTTAATTTGAAGATGACACGTGTCATTTCTGATTCGCCTTTAGTATATAGTTATAGATATTTGAGTATCTCGCTTTTATTGAAATTAAGTGTGACAATTGAATTGTTATGTTTGGTTTTGATGGTGGGAAGATACGTCAGGTGTTAAAAAAGAAAAAGGTTTTCTTACACTTTCCTTAGTTCATACTTCAATTTTTTGGTTGAGATTGCGACTTTTAGGCTACTGTTAACTTCATAATCATGATAGTATGTGATTGCTTTGTTTATTTTTCAATAGTGATTGATTTCTCTTTTACAAATGGTATGATGAGCATATATCGTTTGCTGTTGCTGTGGTTTATATTTAACTGCTAACATTTTGATCATGTTGTTGGTTTATTCTTATTTTGAGGTGGGGATGTGGGGGTGTTTATATTGAACGAAATTTAGTTATATTATCTTGTTACATAGTGCTTTTTTAGGTGAAATCTTTGCTAAAACGAGTGAGATTACATGTATGTTAGTTTCATTTTTAGCTTCTTAAATGAATTTCTAGCTGTTTATAGATAAATGAATGAATTGGGTTGAACAAATATGTAGAGAGTTTTTTTGGATTGTGTTTGGGTCGGATGTGTTGTTTTGTTGATTATTTTTCATGCTTTTAGGGTTTTGGAAGTGTGAGAAGCTAATCTATTGATTGAATTGAGGATTAAGAAGCCGATTGTGTGTGTAAGGGTGAGCAATATCTCAACTTTATAGAAAAATATTCTGTATGTTTGTAATTTGGATTTTACTAGAAAATGGTTGTTAGGTTGCTAGATTTATTGCTTACTTTATTTGATCTATGTAATTCTTACTTAGGTATATGGTATTGTTGCTTTAATTAAGTGACAGTTGAAAGGCTATTTGATGGGACAAAACTAGAAAGAGAGAAAAATAGAAAGAAGGATTTTATCATGCTTTAGTAAACTCTGGGATTTCTTTTCAATTGGATTGAAAAACGGATTTTAAATGTATATATCTGTAAAAGTTGTCAATATCTTCTACTAAATTGTGATCTCTTGTGATTTTATTTTTGTAGCATGTGAGATTTAGGGTTCATTATGCATTATATAAATACAATAAGTAATCATGGTTGTGCATGGTTTGATTGTATTCACAGCAGTCTGTGAGTGTTCGAGGCTACGATTGTGGTTGTTGATTGTGTTTTACTGGTATGACTGGTTTATAATTGTCTATTAACTTCCCTCTTTTTTTTTACTCCTAAGGTTTGGTCCTATGTTTTTGGGTTTGGTGACTTTGGTCTATAGCTCTAGCAGTTTGGGATTGATTAAGTTTGTTTTATAGCTCTTAAATGTGGGCAAAATTTTGCGAGCTGATGTTGTTTTCAATACTCATAAAATTTCAGTGACAATATATAGTTGCCCCCATTGACCCTGGTTCATATTCTCTTCCAGTCTTCCTTCTTCACCATATCTATGTTACTCCCTTTTTCTCTATCTGTCTTTCTCTTACACAGAGGCACACACAGATGAGTGCTTAGTCTCTCACCCATAAGGTATTTATCACTTTTGTGGAAGCTCCTAGATTGACAAGCCATCCATGTGCAATTACTTCAGTGGCGGTCCAATGCTGAATTCCATGTATGCCTTTTCTACCCCCTATTTGGTTCATATTAATACAATCTGATAGGAAAGTCTTTATTTAATACAATCTGTTTGAATGTGAATGAGTTGTTTTCTATAAGGCCTTATCACTAGGTGATAATTAATGACAATAATGGTAATGAGTTTATAAGTAAATTTGTCAGTTTAGTCTTGTGACAATGATCATGATAACAATTCTCAATTTCTATGTTTTTCTCCTCATAAACTTCCATTCATTAGCACTCGAAACCATCTCTAATAAGGTAACAAGTGCTGATGAAAATTTACAAAGCAAAACACATACTTGGAGATAATTGAAAATAAATTTGCATTATTATGGGGCTTTCTCTGCATATTTATATACAAGACTATTTCCATTACCACCATTAATTGGAGTGAGACTCGTGAGGATACTGGGGTAAGTTGACTACTATTTGTTAAACTTGAGATGTCAAAAGGGTGAGACTCTAGACTGGTATCAATTAAAAGGGGTTTCGCTAAAGTTGCTACTCCTTTGTTAAGATTGGATTTGATAGGGCTAAAACTCTCTTTGCCATAATAAGACAGTCTCTTTGCAAAGTTATAGAGCTATTTAATTGACTTTCTTGGATGATTACACATGTTAAGTTTTGCCTAAGGTTCACCTCAAGCTTTTAAATTCTGAAAAGTACTCAGATTGATAAAAAAAAATTGATAAAATTTGATCTGAGAGGACTTAGATTCATTCATGGTTTCAATTGTAATTTTCAATACCTTGCACAAAGCAAACTCCTGAAAATTATCTCAATATTATTATACGGTCACTTGATATTAGCCATTTGAGAAGACTGCTTTACATGCTTTTGATTATTGACTCAATATTTCGGATTATTGATATCAGCCTTTTTTGCCCCTTATCTTAGTTTGAGTTTTATAAGGCTTGTAGTTGATTTGCTATGTATTGCAGTGTTCTATTTGGTGATTATATCAATGATAAGTGCTTTAGTAGCCTTTTATTCTATGGAATCTCTTGGAGCAAATTTCTAGATTTGGTTGATTCTCATCATATTTATGTTATAAGCATTTTATTCCTCTTTTATTCCTATTTATTGTATTTGTGTTTTTTAAATTTGTTATTTAACTTTTTCCTGGTTCATGAATCTTGGCTATGATGAACAAAACAGAAAGGGGAAGAGCATGTCAAATGAATGTTGAGCATGTCAAACAAAACGCAAGAAGAGCTCACACACCATAGCTTATTCATCTGCCAATGGCCTTGATTTTGTTTGGTTTAAGGTATAATGTTGCTACCATAATATCTGTTAGACCTGATCAAGTATGGCCCGACCCGATTCTGGGCAGAATTTTTCGGCCTGAAAATTTATTTATTTTGGGCGGGTTTGGGAATGCGTTTTTATGCATATTTAGTTGATTTTTTAGGCCCGGCCCAAAAATGGCCTGAAAAGCCCGCATAGCCTGACCATTTTGGGCGGGTTTGGGCACAAAAATTCCAGCCCTAAGCTTGGCCTGGTCCAGCCCGGCCCGAGTAGTGGACATAATTTTTAGCTTCGGCCCGACCCGCCTAATGATCACCTCTAATATCTGTTTAAGTGATCGTTAAATCTTCTATAAAATTGGTTAATAACTTTTCAAGTTTTCATCATCCCATAACTTGTGAAAGCATAAGGATTAAATATTGTTTATGAAAGTATTGTTCAACTGTTTTGGTTTGGTAACAATGGCATCCTATGAAGCACTTGGTAAAGAGACAATGGCTGATATAAGGAAGTAATACAATTACACAATTATTGAAAACCCATCCTCAGTTGAGTCGTTTAGCAAGTGATGTTTCGGGGTTTTTGGAGTCCCTCGGGAGAGTTACAATTCCAAGAATGCGCGTCGACCATCTATACCTGCAAAACCACGAAAACTCCGGTTGGGTGGAGTTCCGCCTCCGACGATCAAGTTAGAACGTGTCCGGATGTATAAAAGTGCGGAATGTAAGGGTTTTTCTCTCGGATTCCGAGAGAATTCTGCAATTAATATTGCTCGGGTTTTTTGTGTGTATTTATGAATGTGTAATAAATGAGGATTTTCCTCTATTTATAGTGAGAGGAGATCAGTTCTCCTTTCATAGTTAGAGTGCCACGTGTCACTAGAGGATTGGTTCTATCTCTCTGATGATGACACATGTCAGCATGCGGTTGGTCCATTTGGACCGGGGGTATTTTTACCCTAAACATTTGCCCCTCACAGGTGTGATGTGGCATGCCACGTGGCACCTGTGACAAGTGTCATACTCTGAGAAGGTAACGTTTCGTCTCCTTCTCTCTCCGGTTTTTTTTTTTTGAATTTGAATTTGAATTTTGAATTCGAATTAGGGAGGTGACGGTTCACCTTCTAGGTGTCTCTATAAGTAGTGATCCCCCTCCTCTCATTTTCACACTTTGCTTATTTTGAGAAATTTTCCTGAGAGAAAGAGAGAAAGCTCTGATACTGGCTGCTATTTCTTACACATCCGTCTTCCTTTTCCTCACTCATCTGGTCACCGTCTGAGTGCTCTTTGTTTAGAACTTGTTAAAACCGCCTGAGGGTCTTTTGTCATCCCCCTATCTTTCAATACACCCACAACCGGTCTACCGTCTAGGGTGAAAGGAATGGTGTCCTTCCAACAAGTGTATTATTCCGATAGAGGGTTCAGAATTATTACAGAGGTAATTCTTCAGTAAAGTCAAGTGATCGGAATGCCTAGGTGGAGGCCGCTTCCGATCAGTAATATCAGGGTACAATTGATATTACAGCTTAATCTTAACTGAACCCTTCGGGTCGAACCCAATCGAATCTCCGATCCGAGACGTCGAATTAATCCGAAAGGATTTAATGAGTCGACAGAGTTTTACGAATACAGACGTTGGAAATCGAGCCTAGGGCGTCGATACCGAGCGTCGCAAAATCACAATCGACAAGCATGAGCGTAGCCATAGCTAGGCTAGGCTAGCTCATCGCAACCTAGGTGCACCATGTGTGTGCTAGGCGCACCATGGTGTGCTAGGCACCATCGCAGCCTAGGCACACCTTAACAGCCCATCGCATGCTAGCATGGGTGCCTAGGTGCGCATGGTAGCCATCGCAAGCCACCACACCCATCGCAAGCCCATGCACATGCCTAGGCGCAACATGCGTGGCCTAGGATGGCTGGGCGCTGTCGCAAGCCTAGGTGCCTATCGCAGGGCCATGGCATCACCAGGCGCGCCATCGCAAGCACTAGGTGCTGCGTGCGTGCGTGCCAGGCCTGACAGCACCATCGCAAGCACCAAGTGCTAGCATGGTTGACTACCTAGCAATGGCGCGCCATGTGCGTATGCTTGAGTGCTAGCCTTCGCATGGCAGCACTAAGCATCGCAGCACATGCAAGGGCTGGGGCCAGCTCGATGCTAGGCCTGACACTCGCAGCCTCGCACAAGCAGCCTCGCATGTGATGCATGTGGGCTGACAGTGCGTGGTGCGTGGCGCATCGTGCAAGTGCGTGTGTGCGATGGGGTATGCGAGTGGTGCGAGGGTCAGTGCGGCCAGCATGCGTGGCTCGCTAGCAGCACGCATGCTGGCTGTGCTAGCGATGCTATGTGGAGAGAGAGATGCGTGGTGCGATGGGCATTGCTAGGCTGCCAGCAGCAGCGCCTAGCACTGGCCAGCACCAGCGCCTAGCATGGCCTAGCACTAGGCATGCGAGGCTGCTGGGCAGCACCATGCTAGCTGGCTCGCTGGCCAGCGCCATGCTAGCTGGCGTGCTAGCTGGCAGCAGCCCAACTGCCCATGTGGTGGCGGTTAAGGTGAAGGGGTGGGGACCAATCTTGGGCAAGGCCTTGAGGAACAAGGCAATGGTCCCCCCCACCCATTCATGGTCCTCACCTAACACACTCTCTCTCTATTTGACACTTGTTGCATTGTGATTAGTTTTGTTTAACAATTTATTTTAGAAATAAATTAATTAGCAAAATTCATTCTCCCACATTGGTGGAGGATGAAATATCAAGGGAACATTTCCCTATAAATACCAAGCTTGGTATAGGGATTTGTTACAACCTTGAGTGGAATTAAAAAGACAACTCTAGAAAAGAGTAAACCTTTGATTCGTAAAACTCATAGTTATTTTGTCCGGGTCTTGACTAACCTTCAAGACTTAGGACGCTCGGGTCGGGTCGAGGGTACGATCCGTCAGAGATCTCGTCTTTTCGGGATTTTGAAGTAAGAGCTCTTTAGGAGCGAAGCACGCGTCAAAGGTATAATTCTTATCCTTAATCTTGTTTGATTAAGTTTATTATGCTTGTTTAATTGCTTTAATTAAGGGGCGGGTCTTGGTGGGTTTCCTTCCACGTAGTGTCGGGTCACTACGAAACTCTACAGTGGTATCAGAGCCACGCTCCTTTTTATTTTTGCAATTATTGTTTAATTGAGGTGTTTTAAAGAATTTAATTTTTCTGGTTCATGTTAATCTAATTAGATTAGATGCACGTTTTAATTGAATTTTAAAACTCGATTTTATTATCGATTTGGCTGTCGAACCCAGATTTTGGCTCAAAAATAGTGATTTTTGGGTGAAATCGACATTCTGGAACTGTTTCAATCCTTCTAGGGATGTCCAGAAGCCAAATTCGAACCAGAAACCCATTTTTTCTGGGGTTTTTTGTTTTTCAACGAAAGTTTTAATTCGTTTTAAGCCTTGATTAATGTAAGCATTACAAGGTTAGATTAAATGCATATTTGCATCACTAATCTACTGGTTTTAAAATATCCTTGAGCATAATAATGGAGTGTTTATTAGTGCTTAAGTTGATATACCAAGTAATTACATAAACTTGTTTTTCACAATTTTGCTAATAAATTGCAATAAGGTGTGAAAACTTGTTGTGATTTTGCATTTTGAGTTCCTAAGTAATGTTAAAGTTCTAATCTTTAAGTGTTTAAATGATTGGAATCCTAACCCTAAATTCCAAGTTGAACAAAGTTTGGATTTTTTCATGTTTTTGGTTGATTAAAATCCATTATGTTCAATTACTTGTGAGTAAAATTTGATTAATCTTCATATTGGAAAATGTAATCTTGGTATTTTACACAAGTATGCAAGTTGGAAAATTTTATCATTGGATGATTATTTTGTTTTTCCAACTCCCTTTTGTCAAATCCATGATTAATTTGCATATTGGCAAGATTAATTTTGGACATAGCTCATTTTATTTTAAGCATAAAGCTTGACCTAATTTTGTTCAAAATTGATAATTTTGGATAAATTTGGGCTTGTGCACCAATTAAAATAAAATTGCTTAAGTTAGACTTAACATTTGTTTTATTTTATTTTTCCCTCAAAATTAATTCTAAAATTTGATTTAGAATTGATTATCGTCGCACACAAATCGGAATTAAATTCCGAGTTAAATGCACGCAAAACGATGCAAAATCGCAAGCGTCACCAAGGCCAATCGGGCTGCCTAGCAGCCCACATGTAGGCTGCCTGTGGTGCGCACAAGGCTGTGCATCGCTTGGTGCGTAGCTGTGTGGCGTGGAGGGGTGCTGTGTGGTGCATGTGCTGGCGCGCAAGGGCCCTAGGCTGCTGGTATGCTTGTGCGGCTGCTGGGCAGCGAGGCAGCAAGCCCCAGCCAGCCAGCCCCTGATGCTTGTGCCAGCAAGCTGCTGGTGCTAGCATGCTAGGCAGGCTGTGCTAGGCGCACCTGCTAGCTGCCAGCACCACGCACCATGGCGCAAGGGGCCATGGGCTGCCTAGCAGCCTTGGTGCGCCAAGCATCATTGGATGATGCTCTTCTTGCTTAAAGATGAGCTATGAATTTTGCGATTTTTCCGTATTAATAATTTTAATTAATTATTTTAACGAGGCTAAAAACCTCGATTTTCGATTTTGCAAAATTTTGACAAATTATGGGTTATGCCGACTTAATTAACCGGATTAATTAAGTACGGATGCGGAATTTAGTGGGAGCTTAATTGAATGCGTTGGCATTTTGCGTTTAGAAATAATGAATTAAACCACTTTGACTAGTTTTAATTAGGCGCGTTAATTGGATTAACGACCTAAGTTAGTTACTAGTTTTGCGTGTTTAATTATGTATTTCGTAAAATTGCATTGGCCGTTCACAAATAGTAAACGGGTGAATGAAAATTGCTTTCAAAACAGGTTGTTTGAAAATGCCAACTAGTGGGGCCCGACTAGGATAGAAAATACGGACTGCGTTCCGTTATGTATTTTTGTAAATTTAAATACGGTCTGCGAACCGTTAAGTATT